TCAGGGCAGATAATTTCTGGTTCACATGATGTCTGGGTTTTTTTTTTTTTGTTTTTTGTTTTGCTTGGCAGTTAAATTCTATAATGCACATAAAAAAGGAGGAGATTAAGAAAAAGGTAATGAGAACATGGAGTTAGGGAAAGACAAAAACCATAGTAAATCCACTCACGTTGTTTGTTATGATGTTATGTTATGTTATGTTATGTTATGTTATGTTATGTTATGTTATGTTATGTCTTGTTATGTTTGTTGTGTTGTGTGATGTGATGTGATGATGTTGCGTTAGACCCCCCTTGCCTTTCATTTGCCATCCTGAATGTGAGTACAAATGCAACCAACTTTACAAGATTGTGGGTTTAATTAAAAAACCAAAGTTGTCTCTAAAAATGTGTCCAAGACACTAAAATATTTCTCATGGGTCCATTATAGACACCGTGCCTCTATGGGGAGATTAGGCCTCCTTTAAATCAACTCACATTCACTGAACCTTGGGGACTACAGTGTGGTTCTGAAAGCTTGCTGTCATTCAACATCCACAATGTCATATGCAACTAAATTTGGTTGATTTTTTTTGTGTGTGCCTTGACTCTACTATGAGTCACAGTAATTCTATGAACAACAGACCTGAACCTGTGCCATCCACATCATCTGATACACCTAAGCCCATTGTATCAATCCATTAGTCATTGTATCAATTTTTCTTGTTGTAGGTCTTTCTTCCTCTCTTACACTGACCCTCTACTTTTCCAAGCATGACACACCCTTCCTCAAGCCCCTTAAAATGCCAAAAGTATAATACCAAGTTCACCATCCTTACCCCGAAGGAGCACCTTGATTTCAATTTCTCCACGACAGTCATTGTTATTGTTAGATGTCATCAAATTGAGCATGACTCAAGCAACCCTCTTAACAACAGACCTTTCCTATACTGTGCCATCAGCATCTCTGATACACTTGAGCCCATTGCTGCCATTACTCTGTCAGTCCATCTCATTGAGGGTCTTCCACTCTTTCATAGACCCTCCACCTTTTCAAGCACAATATCCCTTTTCAAAGA